TGAATCAAATGCAGAAACCTAACGGAGAGCTAAATCTGAAAACAACCTAGTAGTTTAGCTTGCTGGAATTCCCTTGCACTTTCTCGCTAAGGAAAAAAATGTTGTTGAAGTGCTTCTGCTTCCCAAGCTAAAAGCTTTGTTTGGATTACAGATATGAGCTGTGCTATGGATACAGTGGTCTGTGTTACGAAACAGTACTTCCTGTGGAGACAGCCCAGCACACTTCCTGCAAAAATGTGTTCAACAGCATTTTCACTCCCCATCTCCAACAGCAAGAAGGAGTCCCAAGTCCAGTACTAGTACCTGGAAACCACTATCAGACTCAACCTCCAACTAATCTTTCACTAAAAGTAATACCACATTTATAACAATTTTGTTTCTCTCCTTCTCTGTTCATTTCTCAGTTTTCTTCTGTAGTAGTCCATAGTCCAAAAGATACCTATAGGCAATGACACATCCTGCCACCTGCCGCGACTTGGCCACGCACACATCTCCCGAAGACTGGTTCCTGCATCAAGCCCCACACAGTGCAAAGACCCCACAGCTAGCAGGCAAGCCATCCTTACCTTCTGCTTTCCTCTCAAACAGGAGAGCATTCCCCACAAAGGGGTAGCATGGGCTGATGCCTGGGATGGGCTTCATCACCCGCCACCACCACCAGTAGTTCAGCAAGGAGGGTAGGGAGCGTACAGTTACCACTGTCAGCAGCAGGGTGATGGCTCCAGCCACCCAGGGCAGCAGCTGCATTCCCTCTGTGGTTCCTAGCATGATCTCTGCTGCCATATCCCTGTTCCAGCCCAAGCCTTCTTCCCTGCCAGCATCTCTGGCCCCTGAGCCAAGTCCAGTTGGCACTGCCTACTCCCACTGCTGCCACTTGGTAGTGAGCAGAGAGCCTGGATCTGTCCCTGAGCAGGAGGCGGAGCTAACACAGTACACAGAGACACAGCTCTAGACCACAAAAATAAACAATGACATAAGCAAGAATGTGGAGAAGCTGCCTGCGTGCAGTTTGGGACAGCGGAGCAGGCAGGGGTCAAGGAACAGCACAATTTCCATGCCGCACTTCAAACAAAGAACAGGAGCCTTCACAGACCAAAACTTTCCTTAAATCACTTCAAGAGAAAATCTTTGAGATGATATGAGGAGGATGAGTGCTTTTAACAGTTTGTTGTTGTTCTTCATGCATTTTTGAATGCTCAGGGCAGAGATTTGCTGCAATGTTCTGCCACACAGTGCCTGAAGTTCTTGAGATGGGAACTGCCTCCCTTTTAGTTTGGTAGTGAGCACAGGGAAGCATCACATATGCTTCTCCATTCAGCTTTCACTCATCTCACTGTTGAATGCTCAGCCACTGGCTAAAATCATGTAACATAACTGACAGCAACCAGCACCAGTGTCAGACCTGGTGGCAGCACCACGAACCTGATAGAAAGGCACAGGCTGTTTCTCTGCAGGTGCTCTCAGAGATCTGAGATTCTAAGGAGAATGTAGTTAAGGCCAGCAAGCAACTTGCACAGTGCTTGGGTAGAAGTAAAACACACTTTACCAGAAATGGTAAGGGAGGTAACTGTCCCCCTCTACTCCACTCTAATGAGGCCCCTCCTCAAGTACTGCTTTCAGCTCTGGGGGCCCCAGCACATGAAGGATATGGACCTGTTGGAGCAAGTCCCAAGGAGGCTATAGGAATTACCTGAGGGCTGCAGCACATCTCTATGATAGGCGACAATGTAAGGGAACTGGGGCTGCCCAGACTTGGAGAAGCTTCCAGAGAGACCTTACAGAGACCTTCCAAAGGGGGCCTACAGGAAAACTGAAGAGGAAGACTCATTATCACGAAGTGTAGTGAAAGCATGAGGGAAAATGGCTTTAAATCATCATTCAATCTTAGGGTGGTGAGGCACTGGCATAGGTTGACTAGAGAAGCTGTGGATGCGCCATCCCTGGAGGCTGAGTTAGATGGGGCTCTGAGCAGCCTTACCTGTTGTTTGGCAGCCCTGTCCACAGTAGGGAGTTGGAACTGGGTGGGCTTTAATGACCCTTTCAACTCAGATCATTCTGTGGCTTTGTGTCTGTGATCATAAGCTCTGCTGCTTTTACTGCCTCAGGAGTATACTAGCAACTAAGAGAATAAATACAAATAGAGAAAGAACATCAGAAGCTAAGGAAGGAACAATTAATTAAAATTACTCTTGATAGCAGAGTGGAATAAATTTTAGCACTTTATTCCTGCAGTCTCCTAGTCACCGCATTATCATAAGAGCTGACTTGCATTTTTTCTGCACAGTAAACAGCTGGCAATGAACTTTGCTACTAACGCTGTTATTTGTAATGATTTATTACAGAAAGAAGCAGATATATACTGTACCTTGTCTTATAAGTGCAGTGAGTTACACTGCCATCAGCTTCCTCTTTTCTTCAGGTGGGAGGGAGAGAAAGAGAGAAGGAGGAAAGAAGGGAAGGAGGGATGTAGGCGGGACTAAGAGGCACACCTGTATGGTAGCAAGGAGATCATCTAGGTAATTACACACTCTTCTTTAAATTCTTTGCTCATTTTCATGAAGGTGATAAATAGAAGATATGGTTAATCATGATTCTGAGCAAAAAAATCTGTGTTTCTGACTGCTAACAATTCCTTCCAGAGGGAAAAATAACTTAAAAAAAAAACAAAAAAAACAGTGAAATACAGCAGAGCTAACACTGCAGGTACCTGTCAGCAACTGACAGTGGTTATGCTGATACAAACACAAGAAGATACACCTAAATAGAAGAAATGAGAAATCTGGCATCCCTGAGGCCTAACTATGTCACTGAGGCTCACAATCATTATGAACCTTTGCTCATTGAGCTCCAAAGGAGAATATTCTGCAAGAGAGACACATATCTTTTAACAGTTTTTATCAGGTTGTGGTTAGCTTGTGGGGCCATAATTTTTTTGCCCAGAGAGCCATTTGCTCAGTGTTGTGCTTCAGTAGACACTACCAGTTCTCAAAGTTTTGCCTTCCTAAATGTATGTAATAGGGCAAATCTTTTACCTACCTTCTCATTTAAGTGAAAGTCTGTGTTTGAGTTGCCACACTATCAATTAGTTGTGCCAGTCCACAGGCTAAGGTAACTAAGGTAACAGGCTTTTGCAGATGAGGAAATCAGTGAAATCATCATTGATGAAAGAAAAATAACTCCTATAGCAGAGCAAGGGTAAAATGGATCTGGTACAACAGAATGTTAAAAGAGAAGTACACAACATATTCTGAAAAGCAAACTGTGATACATTCTTTATGTTAGTTCTTCGCTATAAGCAAAGGCATACAAGGGCATTTCTGCCATCCATTGTAAAAAACAGCATTCAAGGTAAGAAAGATAAACTAGTTGCTGACTTGGCAATCACCATAATTCATATGCATTTGATCTCCACATGCATGATTACAACAGGATTACAGCAGAAAATGTGTAGAAAGGCATAGGGAAAACAAGTAATTTTGTACGTAGCTTGCTCCAAAAGTAATGCCTCCTATTTATTTCTATGGAAACTTCTCCAGACACAAAGAGAACAATAACAGTACTTGATAGAACAAATTCCCAGCTACAAAACAATGTTTTCCAACATAGTTGCTGCCATTAGCTATGCATGTTCACCAGCAGTGAACAAGAGCCTGCATGCTGTGCTCATAAAAATCTACATCAGCAGAGTTGACACACTGTAGGTACCATCACTGCTGAAATGCTCCAACCACCATCACACTGTGCTCACATTCACTGGTTGGTCTCCATAAACATTTAGCAAGCAAAAGTGCACGTTAATGGATGCCATATTTTCCACATGGAGGAATTCAGTTTCAGATCATTGCTTCAAATGCACTTCCATGTCAGATGTCAGTTTGTAAGAATGTCCCTCTGCTGCCATCTGACACATGGCAACAAAATGTAACATGATATTAGTAGGAAGTTTCATCTTGTGGGACAACTTAATAACATAGGAGGCATTACTTTTAGAGCAGGCAACAGCCCTCACCTGAACAAAAATGATATCATAGTATGTCTCCATTTGAAAAGACACTGTCAATGTTGAAAAGCTCGGGCATCCTCCATCATCAGAATGACTTGATAATCAGCTTTATGCTACCTGGGCTTCAAAGCCCAAAGCTTGGTGCAGAGGTGTGCTAAGTAAATACTTAGATGTGCTGCTAGTATGAGAAGTGAAACTCATTACTTCAACCATTTCCCCTTCCCAACCTCCTCCAAAATAAAAAATAAAAAGAAAGGAACTGTGGAAAGCGTTATCCAGTGCACTGACTACCAGGGTAGGACAATTCATGATTCTGTCGGAAGCCCAAAATCTGACAGAAAGCACTATAATTATCAGTTGACAGTCACTTGTTCCATGTTCCCTCTCCTGTGCCACATTAATAGCCTCCATCATGCCTCCAGTAATTCATAGGATCTTTTCTTTGATAGTAACCTACTGAAGCAGATGTTCTTCTGCTCTCCTCTCCAGTGCCTAATTCCAAAGGTCCACAAGTGACAGCAATCTTCCCTCTTTTACAAAGTGCCAGATCTCTCCAATGAGGTAGTTTCCATTTCTGTCATTATAGAACTAAACAAGCACACAACTTCTTTTTTCACTTATTCCACAACCTAACATCAGGGTTACCACAGAGTGCCGTGTGATGGTAAGAGATATATTTTACCATCTTTTCTGTACAGTCTTGTGCACATTTATATAGTACAGGAGAGAGATCTCACAAGAACAGCATTAGAAGCAAGCTTTTGAATACTTAATACTTAGAATACTTAAGTCTGAATTTTGAGCTCACATGGAATTGTGACCTGAGATTTTTGAACAAACTGAATTAAACTGACATGCAATACGAAAGAAAAAGCCTTCTGCTTTGTAAGATACTATATCAAAATACCAACAGTGAATAAATAGCATAACCAAAGAAGGAAACTCTATACCAGGAGCGTAACTTAAAAATGCTTTCATTTACTCAAAAGAATGCAGCATTTGATGACCATTTATACAAACAGTAATCTTATTAACAGTACAGATATAAAATATATACATTACAAGCTCTTTGTCTTGGATTACCAAGCTCCAAATATTCATAAAAAAGAAGTTATGAGAACTGGCATTAGTTTCCAAGTACAAGAACCTGATGCTATTATTAATTATTATTCAGACAAATAACTAAATTTTTCTCTTCCTTGTTTTCAACAGCTTTTCTACTACATCTACTTAAATTTCTGGCTATGATGGATGGAGGAATCATTGACTGCATGCACACAGTATTAATAGCCTGGGACTTGGAAAGGACTGTGATCTTTGGGCAGAAAATAACCCCAGTTTCTTCTTCCCATTTTGATAGCATACCAAAAACAGGTCTAATTTGTACAGTAACAGCCAATATTTTATAAGAAATCTCAAGAAGGGGTAAACTGTCTTACTCACACATCAGCAAGCAGGTGCAATTATTCAAGATCTACAAATATGTTTGGCCTGACAGAACATTGTTTCCTATAACCACAGTTTGTCCCAGCAGTTCTACAGCAAATGATACATAGAACAGCTTAAGAAGCAGTGAAACAATTTCATATCAAAAGAATTAAAGGAAGAAGAAAAATTAGGGCAGAAAATATTTACAAGAGAGCAACTGCAATAAGCAGACAATAAAAATGCAGAAATGTTGGAACAGGAGTTGAATAGGAGATGCAGCTAACTCCTGTTTATAAGTTCTATATAGAACTGATGTCTGCGTAGACCAGAACATTTTTAACACTGAGAAAAAAAAAGAAGTTGGAACAGGACTTCACAGCATAAACATAACTTATTTACTTCTACAGGTAGAATAACAACTCCATAAGGAAAGATAGAAAGAGGAGGATTGCCTGAGAAGAAAGTATAGCAGCATCTCAACTCTGCAAAGAGTGCATTCATTCTATATTGCACTATTTTTTAATCTAACATCTGATTTAGGCAACTTCAAAACAAGGTAATACAGATATTCTGGAGGATCACAAGGTTCATCAGTAACCAGCATACTGCATGTGCTCACTGTCAAACAAGATACTATCTGGCAAATAGAGTGCTTTAGTCTTCCATTCACTGCAGAGGGCTTCTCTTTCTTTCTAGACTTCGTTAAGAAGTGATCTGAAACCTCCTCCGTGAAGTTAGAGGATTTCTATGAAAGGATTTGTAGTAATGTTGTGAGCCTAGAAAATATAACATGTTCATTAATAGCAGTAGAAACAGCAAGACATTTATGTGTTATGTATGAGCCGCTGCCACCAGCCTACTCAGATCAATACTTGTTAACCTGTCTCTATTCTCACAGCATCTCTTGTATAAATTATGACTACAATCAGATAATTATTATAATCAGATAATTAGTCTGTACACCACATAATCCTGCCGTAACTGTAAATACACTGAAATCTCTACTAAAGTATTGGAGGAGTGGGAAATATGTTTCTTTCAAATTCTAAGAACAAAAAGATCCTTTTGGGACCATCTCTGAACAAGCAGCGTGAGCAAACTTCAAAATGAGGCCCAGCAGATACAGCCAAGCACACCTATTCTTTCATGCTGAGATGGCTCTCCTTGAGCGCTTCATTTCTGCATTGCAGAATGGGTTTGTAGCTTTTGCTAGACTTCCACCTTTCAAGCCATTCTTACTTTGCTTACCTATTAAAAATCCTTGACTTGTTCCTCTGTGATTAGAAAAATCCATGGGAGTTAGTGATCTTTTCTGAGATCTGTCTGTCTGTAAAAACAAAAGAAATACTATTTGATAGTATGATATTCTTACTTGATGATGATCTGCTTGTTATGTTCTAGTTCAGCACAGTCAGTACTAACAACCTGCAAAGCTACAAACAGTACTAAAATCTACACTCTGCCATGCAGATTTCCTCAAAAAATCTGTTTGCTGCATTAGACTTGAGGAAATTCCTTCCTCATACTTTAGTCCTGCTTTGCAAACATCCATATCCTCAAAAAGACTTTGAGCATCCTGCTCTCTAGAAGTAGCAGAAATCCACTTACACAAGAAACCAGAAGAGATCCAGCAAATAAGACCTTCTATACACCAACAATAGGCATGAATGAGTGTTTACAGCATGACATACCCTGAACGTATGAGTTGTACTGGGCCTTGAAAACCGATCAGTAACAGTTCGTTCTCTGACTGGCTGTTGCTCTGTACTGCCAGGTACTGCACTTGAGATTCTGCTATGAGCATGTTGTCCTCGATGCTGAGAAAAGTCAAAAAGAACATTGGGACAACACAGCAACTGAATTGGCTAACGTAATTTGTACATTGCTGTTAAAAAAGGCGCAAAAGATGAAGAAAGGGAAAATATTTTCCCACTAACCACAAGTGCTGAATTCAGGTCATTTAAACCTACTCATGCTTTTCAAATAGATTTGAATCTGTACTCATCTATACTACTTTATAATTCCTAGAAGGCCTATATTAGAAAAAATGACTTTACTTGTGTCTAAATTCAAAACTGTATTCTGAAGAGAAAGAATAATACGTCAATTTGCTTCCATTCTTGTTGCTTATTACTTTTTCTATTGTTCAAAAATAGGCCAGAATCAACCTGATAAATGTTAATCCCAGTCAATATCATTTTCTATTTCTTATACACACACAGACAGAGCAAGACACTGAAAAGAGCTATTTAAATTCATATTCATAGAAATACAAATCTGGTCAGTTGGCTGCTTTTGTCTCTTCCTACCCCCCCGCTCTGCCCCCCCCCCGCCATTCCAACCAGTGATGACAAGCAATTTACTTATTTTCAAACAGCTAGCTGTTCTTTACCAGTACAAAAATAAACAACTTACAGAGCTCTGTTGCAACTGAGGTACAACCAAAGGATACTGTTTAACAGCCTCCGAGTTTATTGGTGGTAACTTGTTTCGGGCTGTATGTGCAGATCCAGAAGATAAACGATCCAAGTTGGCAACCCTACTGAATTTTAAGAGATTGTCTTTTAGGAAAATTCATTTTCAAGACTTCTTCACTGAAGTAATGTGAAATTATTAAGCAGTACATTTCTTAATAGAGTTCAGCCACAGAAAGTAACAGCACTTAATGTAACAAAAAAAATAAAAAAATCAAAAATCAAAGAAATGCCCCTCCTCAAAAAACACTGTTCTGCTTGCTGCATTTTTATCTCTGAATTTTAGATAATAAATCTTTGATTAGTTCTCAAGTATTTTCCAAAATCCTTCACTGGTGAAAGTTCAGTAAAGTTCTGAGGAAAGCAGAAAATAAAATGAAAAAACTCACAATTTAGTCCCCCTAAGGATTTCATCATTGTACATATTAGGAGCTTTTGAGGAGAGTTGATCAGAAGTGAGAGAAGGTAACCTACGATGGCTTGGTAGCTTCCTAGCAGATGCCAGCAGTACCCGAGATGATGAGAGAACATGGCTATCAGCTATTCTCCCCAGACTAGTGTGCACTGAATTGGGAGCACTGGAGCTAATGCTATGTGGTTTGTCTTCTTGTTCATTCCTGGGAAAAAAAGAAAGGAAAATGAGATTGAGGGAAAAAAAAAAAAAAAAAAAAAAAAAAAAAACCCCAAAAAAGGAAAAAAAAAAAAAAAAAAAGAGCTGTTAACAGAGTATCAGAACATTCAGTCACATTGGTGATGCAAACAAGGATGTCTGTCTCTTCATAGCTGTAAAATATCTTTAACATTATTTGATTTATAGAATTTTAGACAGTTTCCTATCAATACTTACTGTATTTTTTGTACTGCAGCAAAGTGCCTCTGTTGGAGTGGTTTTGCCTGAATTGTCATCACTCCATTCAAGTCACTACAGAAGCTGCTGGAGAAATGATGAACCTAGTAACAGCAACAACTGCACATTAGCCTTTCTTTCTATTATATACATATATACATATATATATATATATATATATATATATATGGACAGAGAGAGAGAGAGAGAGAGAGAGAGAAAGAGGGAGAGAGAGTGGTAAAGAAAGGGAGAGAGAGAGAAAGAGAGAAGACCTTAAAAAGCCCATATTTAAAAGATATTCTATTTGTTTGCTTAGAGAGGCTTCTGTTTAGACTGTTCAACAGAAGTAGCAAATGGAGCAAATACATTACTTTTATTATTTCAGAAAAATATCAGAAAATTGAGGTGTTACTGAACTGAATTTTTTATTTGCAACATAAGATTCAGTTTTAACAGGAATTAAATTATCTAACTTTCCCTCAGCACAGTCCAACTCAGGAGTGCAGAGCCTGAAGATCACTTATCTGAGCACTTCTTTTTGCTGCTGGGACTACTATAGAGCCAAGGATGCTAATGGGGAGAACTCAGACTGCTGTGCTATCTCTTCTGTGTTTCCTATCCTGCTACCTTAACCAATGCTGGAGAAAGATCAAATGGGATAGAATGAAGTTGCTTGCACTGAATACAAAGATTAGGGAAAGACAGAAAGACAGAAAGACAGACAGAAAGACAGACAGAAAGACAGACAGAAAGAAAGACAGACAGAAAGACAGACAGACAGAAAGACAGACAGAAAGAAAGACAGACAGAAAGAAAGAAAGAAAGAAAGAAAGAAAGAAAGACAGAAAGACAGAAAGACAGAAAGACAGAAAGACAGAAAGA